CTAATTCTCAGCCACTCAGGAAATGGCCCTTGGGTGGGTCTTCCAAATGGCACACAAATATTTACTATGGACGCAAACACTTTGGTAAGCACATCCACGCGAGCCTGGGCATGTAAGGTAAAGAGTGTCCGATGCTGTGATACAGTGCAGGGATACACAGGCTAGTCTGGCTAGCTGCTCAGCTGGGCTATGAAGTGCTTGGATGACTCATCAGCATGCATGAATTCCTCTATCCTGTCTCTCTCTCAACCCTAAGAACTCTTTGTACTGATGAAGTTAAATTCCGCCCCCGCTCCTCATCCAAGGCCAGATGCAGCCTGAGAAGTTTAGCACTCTGGTCCCATTTTCTGAAATGTCCCCAGCACACTCTGAGTAGGATGTTCCAGCAGGCAACCTGTGCTGCTTAAGTCAAGAAATCTGACTTTCCTGCACTCACGTATCGCATTTCCTCCATGCGGGGTGCATCCATGGGTTTGAGCGCGCTCACACGGGGGGTGTGTGCGGGCTATGCATGACTTGTTTGGTCAATGCATCCTAAGAAGTGGGTCAGTATGCCCTAGTTCTCACTGTGTGGGCGTGCGTGTTTCTGTGTATTGCGTTTCAGTGTTATTTTGTCCCGATTGACTTATCTGCAAAAGCATTTTCTTGCTCAGGCTCTCCCGCTGTTCAGTAGCATGTTTATCCTCTTCTTTACCTTTCTCAAGGTGAACACGAGCTTTTTAATTCAACTTTCCTCTCGTGGACTCGTTCGCTTGCGGAAGGCTCGGAGCAACTGCATTTGGTCAGGTAGCTTATGTTTTGTCTTATTTAATCATGTCAGGCCATATTGAATTTACAAATAGCGGTCACGCTGCATGTGTAAGTGAGCTACCCTGTTGAGTATGTGCAGCAGGGCTGGGCTGCAGATTACATGATATAATAGTGTTTAGGCATTGCCTCTCCTTTTAAATTCCTTTAACCTTGACTCCCCTTTAATGCAGGGAGAACACATCTGCCAGGCTGGTGTCAGACATTAGTAATACACACCGCTCAGGCAGCATTGTCACTTTTTATTAACGCCCAGAGCTTTGCATGGACACCAGCTGTTGCATCAAGTGGAAAAGCCTTGGCGGCATGGATGACCTTGACTTTAACTGCCGCTCCTTTGGCTCTTACCCCCGTTTTAATTCTTTTGTTTGGTCTCATACATTTTAAATGGCTTAAGTGGATTACCATTGCTGACGATGAAGGTCGTTTAGAAACTCGCTTTTTTTAAAGATTGGGAAAGGGGAAAAACACTGGATTACCAAGAAGTGTGTTTGTTTGTTCCTGGTGGCGGTGGTGGAGGAAGTGTAATCTGGGGGTTAGGGGAGGAGAGCGAAGCTCACGTTTTAAAACTTAATCCGAGACATCTGCATCGACACGTTCAGTCGACCTTGTGGTGCGACCGAGAGTGCAGTGACCTTTCCTGTTCAGAGTGTCTTTTAAGTACCAGAGGAGTGAAACGGAAAGAGAAATAGATGAAGAGTCAACCAGCCAAGGGATGATGAAGCCTCACCCCCATCCCCATCATTTGCCCTCCCCCGCGCATGTACGTGGCTGACTGTAGGGGTAAAAATCATTTTAGACCGGTGCCTGCTCTGTCATTGGCTGACATTGTCAAGGATAATGGATAATCACCACAGAAACCATACAGCAGCTCATTGGTGTTGTGGGAGGAGGGGGTGGAGGTCAGGCATTTTGGGTGCCACCACCAATGAGATGACATGTTAACAGATGTGTAAGGTCATTTTCAATGTATACACCAGGGGAGAGCATGTAAAAGTAATGCACGCATTGTGAAAGTGGAGAGGAAGAGGGTCGTGTGCTTTAGGGGCTCAGGATGGAGGACAGCTTTCCCTATATTAAGGTCATTTATTTGTTAACAGAGCTGTGCCACTGAGCAGAACGCATTTTCCCGTGCCCTTGCTGTGGCAGGGCTTTTTGACACCGGCTCTGTCATTAAATGCATCTCGAGAGCCTGAAGGGCCTCGCTTTTGTTTCAAGTAATTTGTGCTTTATGTGATGCAGTGAATGCAGCAGCTTTGGACCTCTTGTATATATACTGATATAGTGCAGTGTCAGTGTGTCCCCATGCTACCTTGTCTGCTCTGTATAGAAGTGTCTTTGGGCAAAAACATAGACAAGGTCAACTGTAATTCCAAAGGTTCATTGCCAGCAGCAGAGATTAACAGAATTCCCTGTGTTAAAACTGTCAGTGCTCTTTTTTTGTTTCCCTTTCTCTCACTAACTGTGGGGCTGACTCCCAGCATATTAGTAATGCTGCCAGGCTGTGTGGAAGGTAAACATGCGTACATGTTTACTGTGCCCATCAAACGTGTCTTTACAGGCCGTTCTATTATGATTGTGCTAAGCAGGCTGGCAGGAAAATAGTCTAATCCTGAGCATCTAAGATTAGCATGACAACAGACGTCAGATGGCCCAGTGTGACCAGGTTGGCTTTTGTTGTTGTCAGATTTAGGTCACCAGCTTAAAGATGGCCTTGAACTGTAACTGACGCTGATGGGCCAGTCTCAGTTAACTTATTCACTTCGAGGGAGTGCACCACAAAGAGTCTAATCAACCTATTCTAGACCTTTGGTATGAAAAGGTCTTTTTAAATTGCCAAGCTGATTGTTTTCCTACTGCTGCTCAGACTGATCATCTTAAATCCAGCGTCTAATCCCAGCTCACTTCCAAGGTGGCATTAAAAGTGCCACCTTGTTGCCCTTACTGTCATGACAACCTGTGGACCTTGGCCCCAAGGATGGATTTCAGGCTGATTAGAAGCCTGCCACCTTGTTGTTTCTGGCCCTCGCTGTTGCCCTCTATGTGAAATATTCAGCCCGGTGACTGTGTGGTGGGTTGCCATGGCCTTTCGTCATAATCACTGGCTGCTGTCCTGTCGTGTGACCCGCTATGTCGGTCCGCTCAGCGGACACCAAAGGTGAGGACGGCATCGGGAAAGGACACGGACAGCAGCTGAGGCGAGGTGGAAACTCTGTATTAATTAACCTTTACGGGATGCGGCCAGGACTGTCGGCGGTGCCCTGTATCCACGGAAACCACGCTGACAGGGTTCAGAGCAGAGGTCTCCCAGAGCAGCACTGCTGACAGTGTCATGGCAACTGGCACAATGTTCACCCCAGTGTCACTGGCTCTGCCCTCCTGACAGTGGTGTGGTGTGACAGGTGCACCTGAACCTTAAGCAACCCCTCCCAATAATATAGACGTGCTCGACAGTTAAGTGCACCTTGTCTGTTATATCCTTGATGCAGCTCTGCTCTGTTTATGTGCGGTGCACTGTAAAGCTCCCAAAATGTGCAGAATATTTAGAATAGTAAGAGTTGAGCTTACTATTATAAAGCTGAATTTTATAAGTGGATAAGTGGAAATGTTTTCGGAATGTAAATGTTGTCTCACAGTTCATATGACTTATTTGGTCTCTCTTTGTTATTCGTTTAATTGTTAAAAAGTAGTGTAGCACTGTAATTCTGTTACTTTAGGTATGCATGAGCAATGTAACTCATTACATGCTACAATCAAAGGGAATTAAATGACAATTACTTTGCAGAACAAGAATGATTCTCCGCTCTTGTTCTGCATGTAAAAGATACTGAAATTCACTACAAATATTTTTTTTTTCACACTGAAAAGAGTGAACAATTGTTAGCAATGATGGGAAGTGACGCTTGCAAACTGCTTCACTCGTGGCTCCACAGCTAAAACACAACCTGAGCAGTTTACAGTAGATTTAAAAGAAAAAACCATGGCTAAATGCACAAAATTAATAAAGACGTACAACTATAAAATGTGCTATAGGGAGAAAATGTCGCACAAACTCACAATACTTAAGGAAGGGGAATTTTCAAGAAAAAAAAAAGTTCACAGTGCTCAGTGTGTGAACCTTTGAGTTTATTTGGGTAACACTGTGGCGTGGTGGTTAGCACTGTTGCCTCCCAGCAAAACGGTTCCAAGGTTTCCTGCCTTTCTGTGTGGAGCTGTGCATGTTCTCCCCGTGTTTGCGCAGGTTCTCTTCGGGCACTCAGGCTTCCTCCCACTGTCCAAAGACGTGCAGTTAGTGGGGTTAGATCAACTGGTGATTCTAAATTGCCCCTAGGTGTGAATGTGAGTGTGAATGGTTGTCTGTCTTTCTGCTAGCCCTGTGGCAGACCTGTCTGTACCCTGCCTCTTGCCCCCTGGCAGCAGGGACCCTGATTTGGAGAAGTAAATAGATGGATTATTTGTAGCTCAAAGCACTCCTCCCATAAATCAAGTTACTTCTGGTTTTGCACTTCTGATTAAAGGAAAAAGAATCGGGGTCAAAAACGCGAAGCCCAGCTGGCCAGGTGTTAATAAAGATAACGCAGCAGTAAGATTATACATGCGTCTATATGTGCCTCCGTGCACACATTCGTTCCTGTGTCTAGGCATGAACGCTTAAAGGCTTACTAGTGTGCATGTGACATGGGGAGCGGGTGGGTGGCTCATGCTTTATGTAGTCCAAGGTTTGTGTCGTGTGCGATGCTGCTCAAGTGCATAAGGAGCAGGGGGCGGTGGGGGTGGTGGTGGTGGGGATAATCCACTGAAATGACAAGCTGCATAAGGAATTATTCACAGCTCTCACAAGGCCCTTTGCTTTTGAAAGACATTGCTGCGAGGGGCTTACTGCTCGAGACCTGAATGTTTTCAAGGTAGTGGGCCTGAATTTTCAATTTGGATCCAATCAGGCCTAATCTACATTTGTCGTCTGTTCGGTGGCTGTGAGGGGAGAGTGCAGAGAGGAGAAGGAGCCGTGTGCAGTCAATCTGAAATGTTGCTAAGTAACAGAGACGGCAGACAAGGTGGTGAAATGAATGTGATATAGTGCTGTGTAAATCCCTGCTTCTCACACAGTTTCTCCCCTTTTCTCTTTTTTCTCCCCCCCACTCTACCCAACCTTCTCGTCCTCCCTCTTTTCTGTCTCTCGCTCACTGCCATAGGTCCCCCCCATGTGAGATCTGCAAAGCTGAAAGGCGCCGCTGACAGAACCACAGCCAGGCCATAGGACAGACATCCCAAACATCCACAGCCACGGAATGTGTCAACATCTTTGTGGTGAAATCCCGCTGACTCCTCAGTTGCTTTTCACATAAGCCTCGAGCTGGGCCTTCTGGGATCCTGCGGCGTTTAAAGGCATACAACAATGCCTGGGAGGCCTACCTGCCCCGGATTGTCTCCAGCCATGGTTGCTGTTTTAACACAGTGGTGACTGTGCCCACTACAGAGAGGATCACATCCATCTAGTGCATCCACCCCTCCCCTCTGCTGTACACTGACTCGGTGAAATAGCCTGCCCGCTTTTTGGTATTTAGGAAGTACATGCCACTGTCAACCAGATGACCTAGTGGACATATTTCCCAGTAAGAAGTGCTGAGCCATACGAGGGGATCCTAGTATTGAACATGACTCATGGGGAGGAGCCTGGCCCTGAGACACACAAGGATTCAGCTGTTCTAACTTATCTGGAAGGTTTACTGATGCATCCAGTGGTGGCCGGGCCTGGGGCCACGGCAAGTGGGAGGTCTGAGGCTGCCCACAGCAATCAGGAGCAGGGTGATAAGGTGGGTGGGCCCTTCCAACTGCCCAACCATGGACCCACAGCTCCCAAGGGTGGAACCAATGGGCCCACTCTGGGTTCTTCTCAGCACCTCAAGAAAGCCCGCTTACTGCGCTCGGGAGCTTGGAATGATCCAGGGAACCAGCGAATGAGCTCACCCCCAGCGGAGCTGAATGGCCAAGTGGGAGGGATGCAGAATGGAGCACTAGAGGGATCTCCTCATGCTGGAGAGAGCACCCTGCTTGCGTCACTGCTTCAGTCATTTAGCTCACGACTTCAGAGTGTGGCGATGTCTCAGCACTCTAATAAACCCCCGAGTGAGTGTTCGTCTCCATCCAAGGCGCCACCTGCAGACAAAGAGCCACTACCTGTGTACGGGACAGCCTCAAGCCGCTTAAAGGGCCTGATGAGAAAGAGCAAACTTCAGAATCATAGCAACACACCTTACAGTCGTCGTGGACACAGCCAGGACAGACCCCCAGAATCACCTCGCTCAGCACACAGTGCCACGCCTCCTGCTGCTCCTACAGCTGCAGATTCAGTTTCCTGTGCAGAGCGACTGAAGGCCGTGGCTAACATAGTGAAAATCCGCTCTAGTCCGGCGCCTTCACCTAAGCCCAGTGTCGCCTGCAGTCAGCTGGCCCTGCTGCTGTCCAGCGAAGCCCATCTCCAGCAGTATTCCAGGGAGCATGCACTCAAAGCACAGCTCTCTGGAAGATCAGCCAGCGAAAGACTAGCTGCCATGGCAAACCAGCAGCACAACCAGGACAAAAGGCCACCCAGTCTGCCCGGAGCTCCAGACACGCTAAGCTCCTTAACAACCCAAAATGGAATGACAACAACCACCACAGTAACGACAACACTCCCTCGAATGGCCCTGTCAAATCCACAGAGCCCCTCTTTGCTGCGTGGCCACAGCCAAAGCTCCCCACCCACTCCCCCACGTGCTCCAAGCCACACTCACAGCCAGCCACCTCGGGAGAAACGAGGCTTTGACTCGCGTCCAACCCGCCCACCCCAGACATGCAGTAGCTTGCTGCTGCTGCTGCTGAACAATCACAACAACCAGAAGCAGCTGACCAAGAATGGGCATTTGGAGGACAGCTGTGGCATTCTGCCACCAAGTGGCTCCTCTTCAGTCACCTCAGACAGCGAATGCTCCACCCAGGAGCGGAGCCTGACCAAGGACAGCAGCGATGCCGAGAGCTCCTACTCGAGTTGCTCACCCATTGACCTCTCCATGAGAAGCCGTGTCAATATGCAAGATGGAGGGCTCAAAACTACAGTTCCCTCTTCCTCCGCCTCTTTCACCTCTACCCTCTCTACTTCCGCCCCAGGTGCATTCTCTCCTCAAGCTTCTGCTCAGCCCCCCACCACAACTTTATCTCCATCTTCTACTGTTGTCTCCTCTGTTTCCACCTCTATTTCTTCCTCTTCCTGTATCTCTACCTCTTCCCTGGACAAACTAACAGAATCTTTAATAAACAAGTGGAAGCCAGAGCCATCAGGATCAAAGGTGTCCAAGGGCAAGGACCCTGAAATGAGCCCAGACCTAAAGTCCCACCCTAAAGTCACACTCATGCAGCTTCTTCTTGAGCGCAGAAATAATGAGATGGTTAAGAAAAATGTTGGTAACCAAGATTCACCTCTTGATGTAACTGTAGCCACCATGTCTCGAAACCAGCCAAAAGGACTGGTATCTTGGGAAGAGGCGAGGACACAAAGCCCCATAGATAGGTCTGTAGCTCCAGCTCAGCCCCTCTACTCACTTGGCCGTGACCCAAGCGGTGCTCTGTCCCCATATTCCTACCCTTCCCCCAACGTCCAATCCAGCCCACTGGATTTGTGTAAATCTAAAACCTTCCCTGCTGAGAAGGCCTCAGAGCCCGCCTTCAGTGCTAGTAAACTGTTACAGAATCTGGCTCAGTGTGGGACAGCTTCCTCCCCACCCACCCCCTCTGGTAAAGGGCTGGGCCAGGAGCACGATGCCAGCAGGCCCCTTGCCCTTTTGGAAAGACTCAATGCTCCAATCGGCAGGACCACCACCACCACTCCACTCTCTGATGGAGCTTCAGGTAGTGGCACACCCTTCAGTAGGAAGGAAGCTTCTCCTCCTTCATCACAGATTGAGAACCTTCTGGAAAGGCGCACCGTGCTGCAGCTCCTTCTAGGAACAAGCTCAGCTACAGCGACTGTGAGCCGCAAAGACAGGCCTAGTGGCAGTGGCAGGAGGAGTGTGGAGGCAGCGGGGGGATGCAGTGAGAAGAACCCTGGTGCTCACGTCACCTGCGACAGCTCCAATGGCCCCCCTCTGGATGTAAAGGTCAAATCGGAGCTCATGGAGGACGTGGGACCATCCTCTGCCATGTCTGAGGACGTGATTGGCAGAAAGAGGCTGAGTTGCTATGAGAAGAATAGCCTCGTCTCAGATTCCCAGCAGGACTTAAAGGCTGAACCCCGGCCTGCAGAGGTTATAGCAAAATATGGCCTCCTCAGCCAGTTGCTTAAACAACAGACTGCTACCTACTATACCAGTGCTGCTATGCAGGCTGACACACAGCTCAGACAGGTTAAAGAGGAACAGAGGGAGTATCCGAGCCCAAGCCCTAAGAAGAGGCGGCTCTGTTCAGATCGGACTGATAATTTGAGTAACATCAGCTCTCCAAGAGCAGTGGACAGTGGTGACACAAATATTTTTGCCTCCTCTGTTGTTCCGGTAGAGCCTCAGCAGCAGAGGACTCTAAAGGAAGAAGAGGTTCCTCCAAAGAGCCCACCGAGTGAAACCCTTACACGAGAGAGCCGGGGCTTCAATGTGCTCAAACAGCTGCTGCTCTCCGACAACTGCCTAAAGGAGCTGTCCCAGCAGCCCCGGGGGGCGCCCAGTCCTTCCGTCCTCCAGACCAACGGCAAGGCCAACGGTAGCATTCTCACTCAGCCTGCCCAAAATCACAGCTTCCTCCAACTGCCCAGCTGGCATCCCCACGGTTCCCTCAACTCAGGGTTTCCAAGTAATCTCAGACCACTACCCACCCCTCCTCCAGGTGACAGTTCTCTGCGCTCCCCTTGGAGTCGCCACCCGTCCCCGTGGCCCATCACTCAAAAACGGGAGACGCCTACTTTAGTCAAACAGGAGCCTGAGAGCCCTGTGCGGTGGAGTAGTCAAGAGAACGAAGAGGAGGACGAGGGTTGTGACTCAAACCCAGACTCTCCACGGCTCTCGCGGTCCAACCCCATCCTATATTACATGCTGCAGAAGGGCAGCATCCAGCTAAGGAAGGAGGGGAGAGATCAGGCAGAGGGAGCCCATTCTGTGGTCAGAGTTAAAGAAGAGCCTATCAGTGACATGCATGCCTATGAACGCAGCCTGAGCTCTACCCCTCAATCACCCACCCACAACGACAAGCACAGCCATGAGAGCCAGGGGCTGAGCCAGTCGTCTGAGTAGAATTTGTATCAACTGCAGAAAAATAGAAATGGAAAGAAATTCACTGACTCTGTTTGTTTTTCATTTTTTGAATGACTTGCCAAATTGGTCTGATGAGACAAATGACAAAGAATGCAAATTGAATGATTTTTTTTTTCAGGTGGCATAGAGCAAATTCAGATGCACTTCTGCATCGATTTTTAAATAGTGAGGTCATGGAACGGTACAAAACAGCTGTATCTTAGCAGAATGCCACAAAAGCCAAAACTGTGCATCAGTCACAGATCAAACCTTCCCATCACTGATTGTCATGCACTACATTTTGTACTACAATGTTAATTACGGAGCCCTCCTTTATTATTGTTATTTTTTTTTACACTTTCTTACTATTTGAACTGTACACATATCACTACTCCAAGTCCTCCTGTTGCCTGCCATAAAACATTTAGAAAGAACATTTCAAGCAACATCCATTATTGATGACTCTAAAAATGTTAGTGCTCAGTTCAGTGGACATTTATTTATTTTCTCCATCAGAACATTTCCAGATAGACAGAGACCCATCAATTTTAGATAAGATTCCAAATAGTCACGGCGGTCTATTACAACAGTGTCCGTGCTAAAGTCATTCAGAGGACCTTAAAAAACGGCATTTGGCGAAGATCCTGTCACGACGAATGCTTTGTTCCTCGGGATTCACGGTGTGGCACAATTACCAGTGGAGAAGGAATATATCGTTGGCGCTTTAAACGGTCACAACTCATTGTTTTCGCTTTTATTTGAAGTGCGTGTTTCGAGGCCAATATTCGACAGTGCAAATTCAGGGCACTATGTTTGCAGATTGAGCCGTTTGGAGCAGATGGGTCAACAGAGCGAGCGCGGCTCTTACAGTTGAGCAACTGCGTGTAAGCAGGTTTCTAGAGCAACAGTTAAAAAGGCAGTGTGTGAGAAACTTATCTTGCGACCCTGGTTAAACCCAAGGCACTTTTCTTCATGCACACAGAAACTTTTGAGTGTGACGCACATGGCTTTTTCCTTTTCATTTCACTTAAAAGGAGTACCCAGACTTTGCACTATCGAGTCCTTGGAGTCCTTTTCAGAATCATTTAATGGCATGTGATAATAAAAAAGAAAAAACAGTCAGTATTGTTATCTGTTGAGAATTTGACAGTTTGTGATTTTTTTTCCCTTTATTTCTTCACTATTGTGGTTTATAGATTTTTTTTATTGTTATTATTATTTGTTTGTGGCAGTCTCTTATCTCATAAAATGTCAAAAGAATTGCATGATAATAAAGAGAAGACCACAGGTACATCTTTGTTTTGAAAGCAGCTGGATGTGTGTACCTGCCCCCAGCAATCACCAAGACCTTTTGGTGTCTTGAGGGATATCTGGTTGATCTAGCTCCTTATTTTTGGATCGTACTGTACTCTTTTCAGTTGATCTCACATACTGCTTTATCGATTTTAGTCTCGTGATCTTTTTACTACATATGAAGTATGTCTCTTCAATTATTAATACATTTTCACAATGGTTAAATATATTTGTGTAAATAGTACTTTCAGTATGAAAGATGACTATTTTGTAATGTTTAAGAAAAGATATTACCCTAGTTTTTAATGCCCTGATATGTAAATATGAATTATATGCGTACAAGTGTACATACAAAGGCCGAGGATGCTATGCCCATCGTTTTCCTTTTTTCTTTTTTTCTTTTGGTTGGTTTGTTCTCTGCATGTGTCTCTATGTGGTAAATGATAATCTATCCTGCGCTGTGTTGTGTAATAATGTCTGACTTTCCTCACTGCTGCCTGTTGCATGCAGACGCATGGGAACTACCTGTGTATCCCTACTGGTGATGGGGGAAAATGTCAAGTCTTAAAATAGGTCTTTTATATCACAGAGAGAGAGAGAGGCTGGTTTAGAATATGAACAGTCCCTAAATAACCACAGACTGTTGAGCAAGTTGATTTAAAAAAAAAAATGTGTGGAAAAATAAATGTGCATTGAATATTTTTGTGATTATTCTTTTCTGTTACTGGTTAACAAAGCTCTGTGGAAGAGTTTGGGGGGATGTAGGTGGGGGATTGACGTACAATCATAGATCTGCATTGTGCATCTAAGAAATACATTTGTAGCAGCAAATATATATATAAATATATATATTAAAAAAAGGATGTTTCATTTTTTTCATGTGAAGACCTGAAACATTATTTCATTTTTTTATGTTTTCATTTTTGGTGTTCATTTGCACTGATATCTGAAAAATAAAGGACTAAAATGCATGACCTAGTATGACTGTGTTCCTCTCTTTCCAGTTCAGCAGCCAGCAGTGTGCTGGGACCAATGTCGGGACAGTGTTTGCTCATTTGTAGCGCCCCTCTTCTTTTAACAAAGTCAAATAGTGAATGTGTAGAAGCTGAACTTTAGATGGAGGCATGCTGTCCTATACTGTTCCAGACCATCAACAGTGCTGTGTCTTTTTTTCCATGATGCACAAAATGTTTTTAGTTTCAGGGCAGGCCAGTTCACCTGTAATCTTCTACTATGTTGCTGGTGGAATTGTGTATCTGAAAAATGCAAGGCCTTTTCATTGAGCCTCATTTACTAAGCTTACATTGTGATTTATTAATATTTTCATACCTGGATTTTCCGTACTTTAGAAACAACTTTAAAAGTCTCTCTGACCATGTATACAAACAAATGATAGCCTGGTTGCCTTTAAATTTGAATACTACTACTACAGCTACTAATAATAACACTACAATGGAAAAAAAGAATGTATGTAAATGACATTTAGCATTAGCAGCTTCAAATAGCACTCTTCTAGTGGGTTCTGCTGAAAAGCATTTTGAAACTACATGCTACATTAGCATACACAGACTGATACTACGAATGCACTGCAAACACTTTAGTCTCCCTCACAGCCACAGTCAGTTGAGAATTACCCCAACATGCATGTTTTTGCACAGGGAGAACATGTAAACTGTACAGACAGGGTCAGACCAGGCCATGTATTTAATAAGGCATTCCAGGATCATAAAAAGATGACATTTCTAGCCAAAATTAGACACAACCACATCTTTTTAAGGCTGCAACAGGCCGATTAGATTTAGCCCAGATGTTGCTTCATTGACATGATCAGCCTAGTTGTTGTGAGCAGTCACTTTAACACAACCAAAGCAACTAGCAGTGAAACTGAACAACTACTGCACCCCAATATCAGAGTAAGGTTTAACATTAAAGCACATTATTATTTAAAGAAAATGACATCAAAGCCAAACAGCGCTGCGTGCAATCAAAGAGTCCGATCTATTAAAAGAGTGAGAGGATGTCCTGTATTTGCCCCTAAACCCCTGCTTCTGAGTTGGCTGCTGTTCACTGTGTTGCCGAGTCTTTAACAAAGGCAGGAAAGACACTGAAAGAAGGGAGGACACGTGAAGGTCACCAGATGCACACGGAGTGCCCAAGGATGTGCCCTACACAAATGGAACATATATCTTTGATTTAGAGCCTACAATAGATTTCTTTGTGCGGTCGTTACAAAACCTTAATTCTCGTGTCCCATCTGGAAAATTGTCCATTTAGCGATAGTTTTCTCGACTTGAGAAAAAACAGCCTGTAGCGTGAGATTTCCTAAAGGTGAGGACAAGTTCAAGCTAAACTTCCCCTGCACCGTCTGAATATGAAGTCCAGCGAGTGAACAGACAGCTTTTTGTCTGCAGTGCACTTTTGAAATTGCAGCACAGTTCCTCAGCCCTGACTTCCCTTTTATTTAATCCTCCCCATGACTGACTGCACTCTCTTTAAACTCCCAGTAACCTTTCCCCTCAGTGAACTTCTCCATTTCAAGATTCTTATCAACGCTGAACTACCAGTAACCTCTCGATTTCCTCTGATTGCCGGAGCAGCGGCAAGCTTAAAGTAGGCGGCTGCGAGTTTAAGCTGAGGTCAAGGTGTAAAACTTGACAATCGACTGTTTGTCTGTGGCTTCGCTCTTTGATTTCCTGACCTCAGCATGAGGCCAAAAGGATGTAAACGCTGCACATAAGGCCGCCAGCGACTCAACTGCAGACCAAGCACTCGGAAGTCCCACGACAGACGTTTTCATAGTTACGAGATGTCCAGAAATGATTTCCTGGCATTGCAGATGCTTAGTCTCTGACAAACAACTTAATGACTGCACTTAACGTGCTGGGCCAAGGGTTTATCTGCATGGGAACTTGTTCGAAACAGCAAGCCTGACGACTTTAGTGTAAATGAGATGCTTTCCTCTTTATGTGCTTTGTTTATTCACATGGAGGCCATACAGAGCTAACACTTGTCACCAGTCGTCTTAGTGATGGGTGTGATAAATCCGCTCCCAGATGTTTCATCGCCCTTTTCTTAGCGAAGCCTTTGAACTTTGAGCATGTGATTTGACCTCAAATGTTATGTAAACATACGCGTGCGCACGCACACACACACTCTGTCACACATACGATCTAATTAGCATTTTATGGGTCTCATGTCCCATTTGGAGTGTCATTAAAGTAGAATATATAAATAAAAGGCTGATATGCCTCACAGATACCAGTCCAACTGTTTCTGTACTTTGCCTTGAGGTGATGCTTCTCCAGAGGCTGGATGAGCAGAGCCACAAGTCAGTATTCAAAAGGATTGAAGCGAAACACCTGGGGAAAGTCGTGCACTGAGGAAAAAAAGGTCCCAACGTTTGATTTCACAACCTTATACTAGCCCTCCCTCCCCGAGGCTTTTGAAGATGTACCTCTTTGTGAAGTCTTTCCCTTAACCCCCCTCCAGGGTCATGACCTCTTGCCTCACCTCCCTCGACCTGACCTGGCTGATCCTGTTTCCCGGGACAGGATCAACTGTTGGCCCCGCAGCTGTAGCTCCCCCTCCCCTCTCTTCCTACCCCCCCGACACCTCCTCTGCACACATATGCACTCAAACCACAAACCACATCTCCCTGCTTCCGCTCCCCAGCAATACACTCAGGCCACTCTCGCAATCTCTCATGTAAATATGACAAGTGGCGGCATGGCTCAAGCCCTTTCTTTTCTTTTGAGCTCGATAGCCTCTTGACCCTCACTGTTTCCCATGGCCTCCCAGTCCTCATACATGATGTGGTAATTATTCACGAATGACTAATAGCCC